CACACACACACACACACACACACACACACACACACACACACACACACATAAACTGTTGAAACACAAGAAAACAAGTTCAAAGGCTCAGAAATGTTGCAAGTGGATAAATATGGGCACACACTGAACCGTACACAACTGTCCACACACACACACACCCACACCCACACCCACACACACACACACACACACACACACACACACACACACACACACACACACACACAGGGGGCATGTGGTTGAAGCAAGAACCCCTGTTGTGAAAGAGTCAAACAGAGCTTTCCTGAGCACTAGAAGTAAATACCAAACATTCGTAATCCACACACACGCACGCACGCACACACACACACACACACAGGCACACACAGGCACACACACACACACTTTTGAAAAGACACACATTCCATAGCCTAACCTTGATTTAACCCTAAAACTCACAAAGATAGAAGCACAAGTATCCACACTCTAATCTTCCAGGACAATTTCCCACAGAGCCGAACAACCTTCCTGTGGAGTGAAGAAAAATGTGATGTCGTTCCCAAACTTGATCACTTCTCCTCGTCTTTAATTCATAAATAACATCATTTATAGTTTATTAAGTGACTTAGATGTAAGATTTAGATGTCGGTGGTTGAATATAAGCCACAGTCTTGGTTCAGTCCCAGCATGATGAGACATGATATCTGTCCTGATACGCTGAGCACCAGCTGCATGGGTTTTATTTCTCAAGGATTAAAAAGAGTTCTCTGGCAATTTAGTGCTATAAGTCCATAAAGTTTGAAGACTCTTAGGGGACAGGCTTTAAAATGAATGATCACACAGACACTTTGAATAACTCTTGGTTTTACCCTGAGCGCCTGCATCCCAAGGATTCTTCCACCCTGTCCTCTCAATCCCTCTAAGGTCCAGTTGATCAAAATTGTCCTCTATAACAATTACAGTATAGCTGACCCTGACCTGGACCCAGTGTAAAGGAAGGAGGACAGTCCAGCCAACGTGGCTGAAAAAGAGAATAGTCTCAAAAAAGGCCCATCGAGTGCCAACAGGCTCAGTTTGGTTTGGTGGGCTGGAGCCAATCCCAGCTGACCTTGGGCGAGAGGTGGGGTCCAGCTCACTAGTCATTAACCTGCCTCTCAGTGCACTGTGATAGATTATATTTGAAAATGCAACACGAAAGGAATTTTGAGTTGTTGGATTTTTATGTTTAAGTTCTGTGGACGTGTAAGATGATATAAACAGGTCTCTCTCTCTCTCTCTCTCTCTCACGTTCGTTGAGTTAATTACGTCCCTAGCGAGGACACTATTTCTCTACATCTAATGAAAGGATAGTTACACCATGTATTTGTCAGTGTCCTGAAAGTGACCGTACGGGTTGAGCACTGCTGTCCTGTGGGATCCAGCGTGTGTGTCCTCACCTCTTCGGTGAACAGGGATCTGTGTGTCACACGTGCTGCTGTGAGAAATGCATGCAGGCTGAACTGGGTCATCACTGGAAATACGACCTTGGTGTAAAGGGAAAAAAGTTACTGTACATGGACTCTTTTTTACATTAAGTAAAACACTCATTAAACATCTATTTGTTATATTGATACAAAAGTACTGAAGTAAATTCTAAATACATTAACGTTATTTTGGGCGGCACGCTGGTTCAGTGGGTCATACTGTCGCCTGCACCAAGTTCAAACCCCTGCTTTCAACCTGGCCTTGTTAAGTGGAGTTTGCATGTCTGCACTGGTTTTTCTGCGTCCATCTTCCTCCCACAGTCTGAAGACGTGCAGCGTGGGTCCATTTGAAACCCTAAATTGACCGTAGGCTGTTTGTCTCAATGTTTCCTTGTTTTTCTCTTTATGTCTTTTTCAGGTCTGCGATATTTGCTGGTGATCTGTTCAGGATGTACCCGCCTCATGCCTCATGTCAGCTGACCCTCAAAGGGTGAGTCATATAGATAATAGATGGATATTGAATTTTTATGGCACTGTTGTGTGATTCTCAACAAGTGTTTTCTAGTATTTTATTCGTTCCATTTGTTTCCATGAGGGTACACTTCAAAAAGATAAACAAAAGTACACATAATATTATGTATAACACAAGATGAAATGAATCACACAAACAGCTCCGATCAAGTGACGTCATGAAATAACACCAATCCAAAGCAAGCATGCATCCACTAATCCAGTCAAAACAGCTTGATGTCAAATCTTTCATCCTCTCACTCTAAATCTTCATCCTGAGGGAGAAACTCAGACTCATAATACAAAACTGTTATGACTCATATTACTTTAGCCTAAAATATTGATGCCTGGTAAAGAATGTGAGACGAATCACACAGTTTAATAGCAACTAAACAGACAAAGTAATAATTACAGAAAAGGTTAAAGTGGCCATGATTTTTATCAAAGGTTCAGTGTGTAGAATTTTGTGAACACCCCTCACCTCACCCTCCCCTTCCAAACATGAAAAAGAACCAGTGGAAACCTTCAGTTTTCATAAAAACTCAAAAGGTGTTTAGTTTGTCCAGTGTGACCTAATGTAAAAAACATGGCGGCCTCCGTAGAGAGGGTCCCCTCGATGTAAATATAAAGTATTTAAATATAAAGGGCCTTTTCTGGGATAAGACTTACAATTTAGATGAAACGAACTTGTGAAAACATCATGAGGATTATTAGTGAGGCCAATAGTTCCCTTTCACCTAAATTTTACACACTGGACCTTTAAGAAGTTCACCAGAACAACTTTTAAGGGTTGGGGACACAACTGGTGTCCACTGCCCCCAGGTGGCCATAAAAAAAGTTATTCAAGATTTATTTTTGAAATGTCATCTCCCTGAAATCATAAAATTGCCGTTGGTTTGCATACAAATCCAACAGGATTGACACTTTTTAAAAACTGACCTTGCTGCTGCATTATCTCTCCTAAAATTGCAGACCTTCCATCCCCCTATTTATACATTTGTAGTTTAATCCCTGGATTTGGTAATTTTGGTTGGTTGGCGCATAATTTGCATAATACATGTGGTTTGTGCAAATCTGCATCCATGTAGAATAATTTATGGATCATTCATCAGAGAATACTCATGTGTGTCTGTGCATATACTGCTTCACAAGGCACCTAACACACACACACTGGTCAAATGTTAATGATTTATTAATTCATGAGTTTAAATCTTAAATCTTCTAATGGAAGAAATGGAAATGGACGTATACACACACACACACACACACACAGAGAAGGGGAATTAAAATGTGTTAAAAATAATAACCATGTCATGGCCTGATTGGTTTGGTTTTCCCATATTTAACTCAGTGGACTAGGAAATGAAAGAGTGAGAGACATTGTGGTGGACTGAAGGAGAGAGAGAGAGAGAGAGAGAGAAAGAGAGAAAGAATGAAACGAGGCAGTGAATAAATGAATGAGCGGATGAATGAATGAAGGGCAAAATGAGAACAAAAGGACAGAGAGACAGGAGAAGAAAGAAAAAGAAATGAGAAAATGAAGACTAGAGAATACAGTTTCATTGTGGTGGGCTTGCTGCCGTCTGCACAGGAAAAATAAATGAAGAAGGTGAAGTAAACATAGTGTGAGCGGTGTGTGGAGTCAAAGCATTTGTTTGAATGTAAGAATGCATTCATGTATCTGAATGTGTGAATTTACAAAAAAAATATTTTATTAAGAACACAAGAATGTTTGGACTGAGTTGGACGTGCGACAGTCGCTTCTTCATGATAACACTTTATCCACTAAATTACATTATTCATTCACTTCATCAGGTGACACCTCTTTATTTAT